ATATTTTAAAGCTAATTACTCCAAAATTACTTATACTAAGTGACATATAAATCCGAACACCCAGTTTAAATGGTTTTATTTTAATAAAAGTTGGTGAATGTATTTATCTTACTGTAAATAACAAGTGAAAAAATTTTCAGCCTTATCAGTTTGGACATTCCGGTTTTTATACTGCTTTTTTTTTAATTCACTAACGCTCTAAAAATGAATATTTCAGCCGCAGTAAAGGATCAACGTTGGCAGATTTTGGTTCTTGACATCCTTTACGATCGGTTACGATGCCTAGAGTACGGAGACCTGTACGATTTCGTCAACTTAGTGAGTTTGATAGGGGCCGTATAGTGGGACTTCGGGAAGCTGGACTTTCTTTTCGGGCAATTGCAGTTAGAGTGCAAAGAAGTGTAGACACTGTGGATAGGTGTTGTCAGGCATGGCTTCGAGAAGGCCGTTCGCAAAGAGCAAGGGGCACTGGATGCCGCCGTAGAACAACAGACCGTGAAGATCGCCACCTAAGATTATTGGTCTTAAGGGACCGTTTCTCCGCTACCAGGTCCATTGCAAATGAATGGTTTGCAGAACACAGAAGACCTATTGGCATGCGAAGTGTTTACCGACGAAAGAGAAGTTTTGGCTTGTTTTCATACCGGCCACACTGGGTCCTCCCTTTAACTCTAGAACACCGACGTAATCGCCTTGAGTGGTACAGACATCGGTCACTCTAGGATCAGGAATGGAACAGTATTGTCTTTAGTGACGAGTCTCGATTTTGTTTAGGCATGCACGATGGTCGTGCCAGGGTTAGAAGGCGACGTGGTGAAAGGAGGAATCCACAGTTTTTTGTTGAAAGACATGTTCATCACACTGTTGGAGTTATGGTTTGGGGTGCTATAGCTTATGGTTCCAGGTCACCTTTAATCTTCATCAGAGGTAACATGAACGCGCAGCGTTATATCCACGAAGTTCTAGAACCCCATCTTTTACCCTATCTTGACACCCTGGCAGATCCAACTTTCCAACAAGATAATACCCGACCACATGTTGCAAGAGTCACAATAGACTTCTTTCAACATAATGATGTCACATTGACCACCTGATCAGAAGCATGCCTAGGCGCGTTGGAGAATGCGTAGTACATCAGGGTGCATCAACACATTATTAAAGGTCAAAGGGCTTTAAAGCAGTGCAATCGTTTTGACATTTTTATCATTTACTTATTATGCTTCATTAAGTACTTATACAAAATTTTATTAAAATAAAACCATTTAAACTGGGTGTTCGGATTTATATGTCACTTAGTATATTTACCAGTAGACTTGCCATAGTCTGCTTCTGTGGTACATGTTATTAAGTAGCATTATCATTCTCATGCAATTGTTTTTTCAGATGTTCGATTTAAATTTTGTTGGTCAGAAGGGTTTTTGGTTTTAGCGCGAGGACCTGGCCCACTCCACCATTCGGTTCCATTTAGAAAAAAAAACGATGGGAGACACTGGAGTCCTTCTAGATTCGCTAAAACAAATTATTCCCTTCAGAATAAAAAGATGGGATAGAAGACAATGTGAACTTCTTTCAAATATATCATGTAATCTTGCTTAAGAATAAAACCGTAATCTATAATATGTGATGACAGAGACCGGAACGCATATTAAGCCTATTTTCGCTGGTTGCTGCATATTTCAACAAAAATTTAGAGACGTTGCATATTTTTGCTATAATTACAACTTTTTTGGCATGTTATTTCAATAATAAATTTTTGGTAGATGAGACGTTCGAGTGAATTCGCGCCTACATTTTATGTGCGAATACGCGTCCAATGAACGTGCAGCCTAAGCAGTCAAATTGAGAGCTTTATTAATGGTACTAGTAACGTTTTGCCTGAGTCAATGGAAGCTATGTAGCATATTACCCAGATTCAAATACTGTCCAGTCACCTCCGTGGATGTGGAGCGGTCTTTTTCGACCTATAATAAAATTTTGAGTGATCGAAGACACCCTCTCGCCGCTGAACTTTTGAAACAATACCTTATTGTTATTGTTTACAAAAATAACATGTTAAATAGTCTTCACTTACAGATCTCATAAATAAGTCATTCAAGTGCTTAATTATTAATTATTTGTAAGCCGATTCTAAAATAAATGGTATAAAGGTCATTGTTTTATTGTTTTTTGATTTTGCATATTTTGATCCTTTCGTGCATATTTTAACCATTTTTCATGCATATTACAAACTTTCTATGTTGCATATAATCCGGTCTCTAGTGATGACGATAAAACTTTATACTCTTGCTATGAAAACTCATGTATTCCAAAACCGGTCGTAGATTTTTTATGCATGAGTTCCTACTACTGGTTATACAAATAATTATCTTAGGTATCAGATGTAGGAGCACATACTTATCCTGATGTCTCATTGAAGGACAAAATACCCTTATTTAAGACATTTTATGGTGTTAATTCCGTGGATTGGTAATGCGTTAAAAAGCGTATACGTTTGTGTACCTATCCACCCAGCTTATTCTCAATATACGTCTACACACCTACATTTCAAATGCTTCTTGACAAGATCTGCGTGGATCCGGAACAAGTCTTTCTAAAGAAACGATTCCACAGAAAGGATGGAAGGAATTTATTTCGATCGTATTTAATGAATCGATTCCGATCATATCGATGCCGATTCCAACTATTTCAATTACTATTCCGGTTACTTCGATTCGGATTCTGGCGGTTTTGATTCGAACCCTGGTGGTTCCGATTACGATTCCTGGAACCGGTTTTGATGGTTGCCATATTTTAGATCTAATTATGGTTTATTTGTTTTTCCTTAAAATAAGACTCACCTTCCAAAAATAGCTGCAGTGAAAATTTCAGTAGCAGAACTGCATGCAAAACGTGCAATTTATATTTTTCTTTGTCCTTCCTTATTGCAAATAGTTATTGAATAAGTTCCTATAATCAAAAACGGTACAGCACGGAAGTTGTAAATTACTCATCCGTCACTGGGATATGATGAATGACTCGTGAAATTTGACGCATTCCGGTCACCATAAGGAGCCAGTGCATAGGCCGCTTAAACGGGCCATTATGCGCCTCTACATTCCTTAGATCACAGGCCTCGCCCTTTTAGCGGAGTTGAGAATCGCCTTGAGTCCAAGCTCCTTGATGTCCTGATGGTCCAAAGTAATGGATCCCAGTATAGTCCGCCTACAGTAGCTCAGCGCTTCACAGCGACACAAAACGTGCACCGAGGTCTCCTCCTCTACCCAGCAGCACTCAGACAAGGGATCCTCAGCCACCCCCATTACCTGTAGGTGGCGCCTTAATGTGTTATGGCCAGTCAACAGTCCCACCAGCAACCTTAGGTTGGCTCTATCCAGAGATAAGCAGAAACGTCTATCCTTAGCACTGGACCCTTCAATGAGTTCCCGTGCCTGGCGGAGTTGTCTGGAGATACTTCTCCATTTCTGAGAGTGTTGTCTTGCAATCCACATCTCCATTTTCCTCCTAGCTCTATGCGCGGACACTCCTAAAGCAGGCTCAGGACCAACGAGCTTGCTGGCTGATCCTGTCTTCGCCAGAGCGTTCGCCGTCTCATTGCCTCTTATCCCAGCGTGCCCCGGTACTCACATTAACGATACCGAATGCCTCGCTGCGAGGCAATCCAGAGCCTCCCTGCATTGCAGTACAAGACTCGAAGTAATCCTACAGGCACTTAGTGCCTTCATTGCAGCCTGGCTGTCGGATACGGTTGTTATTCTTCTCCTAGGCCCACCCTCTTCCAGAATGCGAGATACACAAGCCAGAATCGCAAAGATTTCCGCCTGGAAAATAGTGGTTGTATCCACCGAGAGGCAGAGATAGCCTAGTTCTAGGCCCTGAGACCCCAGCACCTAAGCCCTCTTCGGTGACCGAGCCGTCTGTGTACCAGACCTGCCCGCTCACTCCGGAGAGTCTCCGGCTACCGGCGTCCCACTTCTCCCTCGTTGGATACTCCACTGGGATAAGTGGTACCCCAAAACTTGAAAAATGTTCAAATCTGAACCCTCTGATTGCCAAAGAGTGTGCAGGTCCAACAGGACATCGGAAATTGTACGGAAGTGTCAAAAGGTACTTGCGGAGAGGCTCAAAAACCCTTCCAACCTGGTTTCATGTTACGATCCCCATGACGGGTCAACAGCAAAATATATCCACAACCCACAGGTACTGCATATAGTAGTAGATGGTTCTTCGTTTGTGGTCTTTAAAATCAAAGGCAATATCTGAATCCTAACAGAAGGTTGTCTTTCAAGCATATGGGTAAAAATAAGACATATTTCGATTCTACTATAGAGTAATATCGGAATATAGTCATACACATAAACATAAAAAAGCACAGTCTATAAAAAACTAAACAATTTGGGATAACGCATAAGTAACAAAGGAAACATTTAAAAGACATGGAGTAGATACTCCTCTACAGAGCAAAAAGGGTTTTCTATAAATATTTTACTTACATGTCTCAGAAAGACTGTCACATTCACCGTCGCTTCTATATACATAGGCAGCGTGTGAATTTTATACGCATAACGTTTAAGCCCCCCATTCATTAGTGGATTGGTGTGACGGATTGGTTCGTCCTGACTTGTCCGCCGACCGATCCGCCAATATATGGTATCGAAAGACATGTCGCACAGCGGTCCGGGTCGAGTTGTGAGTTCGCTTGTTTGAATACCGAACCTATGACCCGACCGCGACCAATCCGTGCTGTTTTTACAATGTGTGTGTAACTTGACAAGACTTGTCCGGCGACGAAAGAGTCCTTCCGAGATCAACGAAAGTATCAAGGCATTTTTTGAAGGGAATTCAAATGAAAATGTCTTTTGGAGATAATAAATCTTTTTGGGAGGAATTTATCCAACTTTACCAGGAAAATCCTTGTCTTTGGGACATCAAGTGTAAGGATTACCGCAACAAACAGAAAAAAAAATGCTGCGTATGAGAATTTAATTAACAAAAACAAAGAAATGTTTCCAGATGCCAACAAGAAATTTGTGATCAAAAAAATATCGTCCTTACGGTCATCTTTCCGACGCCAGATAAGGCGAATTAATAGTTCAAAGAGAAGTGGGGTGGGAACAGAAGATGTACCAGAACCTACATTGTGGTCTCGTGCAGCGGTTTCTTCGATAGAAGGAAATAACCTAGATGCCAATCACAGGCCTCAGTAAGTAGATATTTTCACTAACAAATAATCTAAAAAGACAATATTTATAATAATTCAGATATTTTATTTCAACACATATACTATACATCTTAAGCTTAATATACAAATTTGTGTTGAAAGTCAACTTCACCTGCATTATTATAATATTCTTTATATCCATTTCGTATTATCTTTGTGTCAATAGTCGGAGATCCTTGCCTGGACACATCTAATGATATTAGTTCTCCATTCATGTGCATATCACCTATCAATACAGTCCCTGAGATAATGTCTTCAGTATCGATGTTACTAGGTTGTATGTAAGAAGTGCTTTTGCGGCGTAAAAAGTTGTGTAAAACACAGCATGCCATAACGATATCATCAACTGTATCTACTTTAGTAGCTATTGGCGTTAGGAAAATCCTGAATCTATTTGCCATGATCCCGAATGCGTTTTCTACTACGCGCCTGGCACAGCAAAGTCGATAGTTGAAACATTTTTCTTCATAACCAATACTGCTGGTTTGTCTGTATGGCGTCATGAAATTTGTCATTAGACTAAAGGCTTCGTCCCCAATAAACACAAAGGGTAATTTATTTTGAATTCCTCGCATATTGACTGGTTGGGGTAATTTTAAAGAATCTGTTATCAGTAAATTGTAAAAATCTGTTTTCTTAATGACCCCCCGTCTGATATTCTTCCATTAGTTCCACAACTTACATAAGTAAATTCATAATTAGCATTTACGATAGCAAACAACACAACACTGAAAAATCCTTTATAGTTATAATAGTATGAACCACTTCCTGGGGGCTGTTTGATAGCTATGTGTTTGCCGTCTACGGCTCCTAAGCGATTTTCAAATTGCCACATATTGTTAAATCCTTCTGCTACTTTGAGCCATTCCTCTTCTTTTGATGGAAACTGAAACCAAAAATAACACAGCTATCATATGAGACAAAGTTAACTGTGAGCTATTTTATTGCAGGAAACCGATGCATACACACAACATTCTGATCAAGATTTAGATTCATCATCAGTTTTATCGCCTGAAGCTCCTCAAAGTGCAACACCAAGTTCCCGTAACAAGCGAACTCTCAACTGCACAACTTGGACACAGAAGAAAAATAAATTTTTGAATGCTTCCATAAAAGTATTGGAAACTCCGCAACAGGATGTTCTTGAACCAAGAAATAACATTTGGCAAAAATATTGGTCAACAATTACAGGATATTGCAGTTGGACAGAAGATAATAGCCCAAAAACTGATTTTGCATGTGCTATACCATGCAAAATTGGGAAATCTCACACATTGTTCTCATATTTCCCTGGGTTACCAACCACCATCATATCAAAGTGCCCCATGCGTTACGCAAGCACAAATATTTCAAAACTCATGCTCCAGGTATACAACATCCATTAACCCAACCTTTAATGAACCCAGCACGTCATATACACGTCAACCAGATGTACCAACTTTTACCACTTTGACAACTCCAAATCAGGCGTCTGCAAATAGGGAAGTGAGGGAAGAATTTTTAGTTTTTCGCAGGCAAAATAATTAAGAAGTGATAAGGTACTACGAGTATTACAGACTGATTCACATATCTTTTATTGTTAGACATAATTTGAAATAATAAAAGTTTTTTCAACACTCTGTTTCTTATATGCATCAGAATACATGAAAAAATAATTATTGTACTTACAATAAGTATTTCTTCCGGAGGCAGTTGTATATAGCACGACACGTTTCTGGAATTATTCTTCCAAGTAACTGAGGAGAAATTATACAAGAAAACTTTAAGTCTTTATAACTCCTTCCAGTTGCCAGAAACCTCAAGGTGGCCAACAGACGTTCTTCAACGCTTACTGCTTCTCTGAATAAAGTGTTCTTCTTTTCTATCAGAGGTTTTACTAGCATTAATAATTCTTGGAATGCGTCATAGTCCATTCTGAGGTAATTTATAACATCAAGTGGTTCACATGATTGGATACATTTCAATAATCGCAAATGAGTAAATTGTTCTCTCTTTTGCAGCCATTCTTTCACCCAAACACGTTTTTTCTTTTTTTCTGATTCTAATAATATGATTGTACCTACAGCCAAAGCAACTTTCAACTTTTTTGATAATATCGGAGACATAATGCTATTGGGTTCGCCACATTCAGTGTACAAATGAGCTCTTTTGCAGGGTTCGTGTAATTTCCGTCTAATGTATTGACAAACGTGGATGAGTCGTCAGTCGGGTCCTGGTTGCCGTCCGAGTTCAGGTCCGTCTAGTGAATGGCCCGCATTAGTCCCTTTGACGTGACGGCAAGTCTATACATTCGGAGCTACAAATTCAGGTTTGGACGCAAATTGAACACGATGTCTCTGGGTCTATGTTTGAATTTGTTAATATTTTTTTCAACATAAACAACACATTTTTAAGTATAAATGAAAAAAATGACATAATACCATTGTGCTTAAGTAATGTGCACGAATCTCTTATTTTTGCCAAAACATTGTTCTTAAAATTCTTTTTCGGATTAAAAAAGGTTTCGTTAATCCTAGTACCGTTTCCCCAACAAATAATGCAATAATTAAGTACAGAATGTACATATGCAAATTAGTACCTTAACAATACGTCTGTGATGATTTAATTTCAACTGCCACAATTTACAACAGTGTCATTAGTTTACCGGAAATAATATCTTCAGGGTGATTTACAGGTGGTGAACAAAAATGAAACATCATACACAGGACCGCATTTTAAGGAAGTGCAATGACGAAATTTTTGTGAGTGTCTACTGCAACGAATCTTCAATGATCAAGGATCTTAAATTTTCGTGAGGGGGGTTAAAAATCCCCCATTTTTTGATGAAAACATTGTTTTGTTAGTTTATTATATCTAATATTACGTATTGTTGAAAAGCAAAGCGTCCTCCTCCTCACATACACTGGGACATACTGCATAATCAAAACGCGGATTTTATTTATTTGGCTTTGTGATCAGATGAATCACTTTTTACGAGAAGTGGAACCTTTAATTTTCATAATGAACATACCTGGTCGTTAGAAAATCCCCGTTCTGTGAGAATCCAACATAGATTTTCTAGAAATGTCTGGTGCGGCATTTTCAACAGCCAATTATTTATGCGACGTTTAAACTCAAACTTGTACTTAGTTTTTGTAGAGAATTACATAGAAAATGTGTTAGGTGATGTTCCGTTGGCAACGGTATGAATGGTATCAATACGACGGTGCCCCACCGAATGTTCGTCGTGTCATAACCGGTTGAATAATCATTTGGACTGGCAGAAATGGATCCTTATATTGGCCTGCGAGGTCCCCTGATTTGAATCCCCTGGATTTCTTTCTGTAGGTCGCTTTCAAACAAGTACGAGTAGTTTATGCTAAACAAATTAATACTGTTGATCAGTTACAAGAAATAATAGATAATGCGTTTCATCAAATTCAAGCCACAACAAATTCTGCGGAAATACGTTTTCCTTTATTAAAAAGATGCCGCACTTGTATCCGGCAGAATGATGGTCTTTTTGAACATTTATGACTATCTGATTTGTTTTTTTTTATTTTTACAAAAACAATGCACCACTCTAGGATGAGTAATTATTTGTAGCAAATTGAAGGTAAAATTTGAAAAACTGCGCGTTTCGAAAAAACAGTGAAGTACTATTTTTAATTGGGAAAATAATGCCACTAATACCTCCATCTCCGCCACTGGTGCACATCAATTTTAAGTAAGGACTTTTGAATGTGGACAATACTTATATAAATCCACATACCAAATTTTGGTTCATTCCAGTTGACGGTATTGAAGATATTAAAAAATGTTATCTATTTTTAAACTTAATGAAGCCCTCGAGAGAAGAATGTTAGATAGAAGACCCCCCCTTAAAATGCGGTCCTGTGTATGATGTTTCATTTTGGGTCACGACTTGTGTAAGAGTTTCACCAAATGTCTTGCAAACAAAACAATTCCGTCTTGCAACTGCAACAGCTTGCAAGCACTGGTCTTGCGGGCTGTAAAACGGTTTTTAGGTGGCGACTGACCTAGGCTACCCGATCTGTTTCCAAATTCAGCGTTCGTCCTCAGACCGCGGCACGTTATCGCTTGGGTCGTATGCCGGGCGGCGAGCGGCGAAGCGTCGGCCTGACAGAACGGCGGCCCGTCTTGTATTTATGCGGCCCTATTTCACCCCCTGCTCCCTACGTCAGCCTACTACCGCCCCTTAACCAGCCGCCCACCTGATCTTATCGACAAGCCGGCTGTCAGATTGCACGGTATGCGCCGGCTGCCGTGATCTACTAGGCCGGAGATTCGACAACAATGCTTTTATCTACTACCAACAGAATGAAATGGGTACTGTTTTGTTTGTACTACGAGCCCCTTCCCACTTCAGGTGGCCCAACTATTTAAATCTTAGTTTTTATCTTATCGAACACAAATAATAAAAATGTAGCAGAGTGTTATAGGTTTAAAATATTAACAATGAATATTTTGATAATATATAGTAGAAAACACCAACTTTATCACTCCCTAATCAAATTTGCAGCATAAAAATAACACTTGTTGCAATTACAGCATATCAACCTATTTTCATTTCAATGCAAAATAAGTCTATAACGCATAGGTGGCTGTGACAAATAAAAGCCATGACAATTATTTTTATTAATCACAGCTGTCAGAATACGTTTAGAATAGTTTTGGGTAGTTAAGGTTTTCAAAATGGGTAGAGGAAAGGTTATCAGTGAGAAAATTTGGTTACTGATAATTAAATTTTTTAATTCTGGGAAATCAAACTCAGAAATTGCAACTTTGTTAGACTTATCGCGGTACAGTGTGAGAAATATTGTTAGAAGATATAACGTAACTGGTTCAGTTGATATTAAGCCACGATATGTGGAAAAAAGTAATATCACAAATGCCGACCGAAGAGCATTAAGAAGTTTAATCGTGAAAAACAGGCGTGCCAATTATTTACAATTAAGTGCTCTGTGGAGTGACGCTGTTGGAAGGAGGATTTCGAGGTGCACAGCTCATAGAGAGGCCCACAAATTGGGATTTAGCACTTGCAAGGAAAGTTTTCTTTAAAAAAAAGTTTAGTAAAAACCCTAAAGTTGCACAACTTGTTTATAGGCCAAAGAACAGCCACTATTAACTCCACTGCAAGAGAAAAATCGGCTTAGATGGGCTAAAGAACATAGACAATGGACACCTCAACAATGGTGTGCAATACAATGGAGCGATGAGGCCCGATTCGAAGTTTGTGTTGGTGACAGTCGCACTAGAGTTATTCGCAAAAATTGAAGCATTCCATGTTGACTGTCTGAAGAGAAAAGTGAAATTTCCAGCATCCATTATGGTCTGGGATAGTATGTCATCAAAAGGAGTAGGAAAACTTCATTTTATTGATGAAAATGTGGATACAAACAAATATTTGGCAATTTTAGAAGAATCTCTTTTACCAGTGATGGAAGAATGTATGACATCCGGCCAAAATTTTGTGTTTCAGCAAGATGATTCAGCGTGCCATACCTCAAAAAAGGCGATAAAATAGATGGAAGAAAATAATGTACCACTTTTGAAATGGGTTTCTAGCAGTCCAGATCTGTCACCTATTGAAACTTTGTGGCACGAGATGAAAAAGGTTCTACGACAACATCCTGCTCGTACAATCACCGAACTGAGACAAAAGCTTCAAGAGATATGGGATTGTTTTGTAACGGTTTCACCGTCCGATCGTATTTATTAAATCACTTCTCGATTATCATTTCATTAATCCCATCTCTAGCTTTTTTGCTTGGAAAATTTTCCGCTTGGAGCGCTTGATGCGGAGTTCCTGATCTGCGATCTTCCTCGCGCTTCCTTTTCACTTGAGCCGCCGATCGAACAACGGCTAGAAATTTCTTCTCAGTAGCACAAGGTTATATAGCACCATGTGCTAGAATTTTCCAGAATGTGTGTCCGTATAGGACAAAAATGATTGGGGCCACCCCCTTTCTCTTTCCCTTTCACTTTGCCTAGCCATGGCCAATATTTTCACCCATGCATGTACCTTGGCAGCGCCATCGCCTTTAACTTCGCCTACAACTGGTTGTGAAGCCACTTTATGGAGGTCACCCCTCATAACTGGGACCTCCCCTTCAAGCCCCTGGCCATCCTGGCTTCAGTCGAGAAAAAATGGACCAGCGAAAGATAAGTCGATAGCGTTATAGCAGCGCCAAAGATGTAAAACTTATTTTGTTATTTTTGTAAAATTGTAATGTAATGAAAATGCCTTTTTTTTGTTAAATAAAATCTGTTAAATTTTTGTGTTCTGTTTGTTCTTCTATCCTCTAGCCATGCCATGGTCGACACACAGCTACACGCCTGTAGATGTCTTCATGCCACCGACTGAGCTACCGGAAGCTAATGGTAACCCCCTTTCTGTGATTGTGCAGAAAAGTTGGAATCTTCATTGCATTCCATCTTTTCTGGACTTTTTGCGGAAAGGAAGCGTCACAGTTTTACACCAAATTTTTGCCAAAACTTGGTTAACACTGTGCCCCAAAGAATTTCGGCCGTGATAAAAAATAAAGGTGATATTACCCAATGGTAATCTTTCAATGGTTGCTTTGTTAACTTCGCGCATTTATTCGCACATTGTTTATTTGTTCAGGTCTAAGTGATTTCAAATATGTATTTTTTACGACTAGAGTGTATCTAAAATTTTTTTCGAGAAAATAAAGTGTTTTAGAAGTAAATAGTTTCGTCATGTTTAGTTTATAAAGGCATATTTTGGGACAAATCTTGAAGTGGGCCAACTGAAGTGGGAAGGGGCTCATATACTCATAATTGCACACACTCCATGTCATATAAGTGAAACCAGTATGCTTTT